CGGACTGCATTTCGATATTCAATACGAGTTGCAGCGTTCCCGTCCCAAGACGTTCGATGAAGCTGTCCAGCTGGCGTCAGCAGCCGATGCACTCCAGCAGTGGGCGAGAAAGAACAACAGTGATGTTGGTCATTTTCGTGGACAGTCTCCCCGCCCCACGATCAATGGCGTGTCAGCGCCCGATGAAATATTTCACGGGCTATGCTTTCGATGTGACAAGCCAGGTCACCGAGCTAAGTACTGCCCGACGGCGCCCAAGAAGACGAAAAACGACAAGGAGAAGCCGGGAAATGGGAAAAGTCAGTAGCAGACGGGCCCCCTACTGACGAGGCTTTGTCGCCCGAACTTCAACGTTCCCACCAAGTTGTGGTACCGATACACGCTATCGACCGCACTCGGACGAATAACGGGAGCGAACCTGAAGATCACCCTATGCTGGTCGAAGGCAAGGTTAACGGCAAAAAAATAAAATTATTTGTGGATGGCGGAGCTAGTCACTGTCTCATACACGTAACAACGGCGAAGCAATTGAAGCTGACGTTGGAAAAATGTCTTCCCGAAAACGACGCGCGACTGGTGGACGGAACTCCACTTGCAATTCAAGAATGAGCGCGCATAGTGCGGATGAAGTGTGGCGACGACTTCGGATTCAGCATGCCCATGCCGGCCACGACGCTGGACGGCTGCGACATTCTGCTTGGGAGTGATTGGCTGCGAAAATACAACCCGAGGATTGACTGGACAACTGGCGAATGCAGCGTGCACTGTGCGAACGGGTGGCGCGTACTTCCGAGCTGGCGTGGGAGGGATCCGGTGTCGACACGTGTCAACGCCATCACCCTCCAGCGAGCAGTTAAAATAGGAGCTAATCTGTACGCCGTCCACCTGGCCGAAGCGACGGTCAAGGACACGCCAAAGGACATTGACACACTTTGTGCCAATGTCCCTGCCGAGCTCGCCACGCTGATTCAACGGTACTCGGATATTTTTCCGGACGACCTGCCAGCAGGGTTGCCACTCGAGCGCCCCCAGGACCACAAAATTGACCTAGAACCCGGCGCGCAGCCTATAGTCAGGACCCAGTGGCGGCTGACTCAGCCCGAACTCACGGAGTTGTGGAGCTAGCTGGACTACCTTTTGGAGAAGGGGTTCATTAGGCCCAGCACGTCCCCGTTCGCGGCACCAATCCTGTTCACGCCAAAGAAAGACAGCGGACTGCGAATGTGCATCGACTACAGGGCGCTGAATCGGCGAACCATTAAGTCTCGCTACCCAATCCCACGCGCGGACGATCTTCTCGATCAACTTCGCGGAGCTCGCTTCTTCTCGAAAATCGACTTACACGGCGGTTACCATCAGATCCGAGTCTTCGCTGACGACTGCCACAAGACGGCGTTCCAAACCCGATATGGCAGTTACGAGTACACCGTGATGCCATTTGGCCTCACGAACGTGCCCTCCACATTCCAACTCACCATGAATGGTGTCTTCCGAAATCTCCTCGACAAGTGTGTCATCGTCTACCTTGATGACATTCTGATCTACAGCAAGACACCGGAACAGCACCTCAAGGACCTCGAGCAAGTTTTCCAGCGGCTGCAAGAACACCGCCTCATTACGAAGGGCTCTAAGTGCGAGTTCCTAAAATCCGAACCGGAATTTTTGGGACATGTCGTGGGAGCGGACGGCATCAAAATCGACCCGAAGAAAATCACAACGATTCGCGACTGGAAGCCGCCGACGAATTTACAAGAGCTGCAGAGTTTTCTCGGGTTCGTTAATTACATCCGGAGGTTTATCCCCAATATGGCAGGGATAACCGGACCGTTAACTGACCTGCTGCGGAAGGGCACTTTGTTTGAGTGGGGGGAGAGACAGCAAACTGCTTTCGATGAACTACGACGAAATTTTCTGACGTCGCCCCCGGTCCTCCGAATCGCCGACCCATCTCGACCGTTCGAAGTCTTGACGGACGCTAGCGATTTCGCCATCGGTGCGATACTGTTACAAGATTTCGGCGACGGAATCCAACCCATCGCGTATGAGTCTAGGAAGTTGCAGGCAGCCGAGCGCAACTACCCCGTCCACGACAAAGAAATGCTCGCCATCGTGCACGCATTCAAGGTGTGGCGATGCTACCTGACGGGAGCCGACGTGACAGTACGGACAGACCATAAATCCCTACAGTACCTCCGCGCGCAGCCGAACCTCAATCCACGGCAGATTCGCTAGCTGGACTTCCTCGAAAGTAATTTCCATTACACCATCACGTACAAACGTGGGGCGAATAACATCGCCGACGCACTAACAAGACCATCCGCCCACCTCGCCTCCATCATCGTCGCAAAATCCAACCCGCTGCTCACTGGCCTATTTACCCACGGATATACCACAGACCCCTTTTTCACTCGCAACCTCCACCAGCAAGCCACCACAGCCAAAGGACCCTACTTCCTAAAAGCTGGCACTGACCGTATCTGGGTTTCCGCCTACAGACTCCTCCACGACTTACTTATTCAAGAAGTCCACGATTCTAACCTCTCCGGTCATTTCGGGGTTGACAAAACCCAGAAGTTACTTCACCGTTTTTATTATTGGCCTGATTCGGCGTCTGATGTGCAGAGATACGTATCTGCGTGCCCGATCTACCAACGCATGAAGTCCTCTCGACAGCGGCCAGCTGGACTGCTGCAACCGCTCGAGCCACCCCAGCGGCCGTGGCAACACGTGACGATGGACTTCGTCACGGGACTTCCGACAACCGAAACGGGCAACGACGCCGTCCTCGTCGTCGTCGATCGTCTGACGAAGATGGCGCACTTCGCACCCTGTCGCGCAACAATCACAGCCGAGGATACAGCGAAACTCTTCATCTCCACCGTTGTTCGTTTACACGGCGTCCCATCAGCGATCATCAGCGACCGCGACCCAAAATTCACGTCCAAGTTCTGGCAAGAGACATGGGCCCAGTACGGCACACGCCTCCAATTTTCCTCCGCCTATCATCCTCAAACCGACGGCCAGACCGGACGAACCAATGAGACCATGGAGCAGCTGATACGCACCAACTGCCCCGATCTTGCCCGGTGGGAAGAATTCCTGCCCATGCTGGAATTTTCCTACAACAATGCCCCATCTGCTACGACTAATCTTTTGCCGTTTTTCCTAAACTACGGGATGGATCCGACTGTCCCAACGAATACCAACATCGACAACCCAGTGCCACGTTCCCAGCAGTTCGTGACCAGTTTGCAAGCTGCCCGGGGTGAAGCAATCGAATTCATTCGCAAGTCCAACACAACCGCTCGACGCTATACTGATTTTCATCGCTGCAATATCACGATGACTGCTGGGCAACTAGTCCTCCTCGACACAAAGAACCTTCGATTGCCCTCGCCTTCAAAACTCCGACCACGATTCTGTGGCCCTTTTCGTATTGTCAAGATGGTGACACCTGTCACAGCGAAGTTATTACTCCCGGATGAGTGGCGCATTCACGACGCCTTCCACGTCAGCCTGCTTCGTCCCTACGTCGCCAGCACGTCTTCAGTCGCCCGACCAGCGGCCGCCCCAAGTGTCCGCCCACTGGCTGAACCGACCCTTGAGCCTTTCCAGCTTTTGAGTCATCGCGCTCGCCTCGACTCGACAGGACGACACGTGGATTTTCTTGTCCGCTGGGTCGACCGTGCAAGCGAAGACGGCACTTGGGTCACTTCCGACTCGATTCAGGAACACTCGGTGCTCAAATCTTATTTGACCAGAAAAAAGCGTTCCCGATATTGATCACCTTCCTTAAGAGGGGGGGTAGTGTAAGGAATTTTATTCCTTACCGGGTTGTACTGCAATCGCGTACACCCGAACTCTCGGAACACCAGGCTCGGTCCGTTTCCGACGCAACCCCGAGGCACGCCCGCGCCGCCTCCGATCCTTTATCGTCGCCTAGCCCTCCGGTTTCGTCGCCTAGCTAGAGCTCTCGCTGTATAATGCTAGGCTAGCATTCTTGTACTCGTCATTATTATTCCGCGCACTCTCGGTTATTATTCATAACATCGTCACTCAGGGGTGCCTGTCAAGTTCAGCGCAGAAGGAAATTTGGAACACCAGGTGCTCAGCGTTTTTTCAACCGTCCATTGTTTCCAGATTTTCATCTGACGGCGCGTAAGCCAAGCACTTCCCCCAGTCAGTCGAAAGGTGATCTCATCCGTCAAACTGTGTTTTTGTAAATCTGACGGTTCACGGCAAGCGTTTAATTGACGAGAGTAAACTCCCTCGCGATTTTCCAGCGTATTTCGTATAGCCTCAGGGTCAAAGTTCATACGCAGTGCGTTCGAACAATTTGGGCCGCGGGTTTTAAGCAATTATAACGTTACTTAATCCACAAAAAGCTCCGCAAACCTAAGACGATTTCGTACTCTTGTTTTTTTAATTATGGTGATAAGAATACAACGCTGAACAAGGCATGAGTCCCTCACCTGCTTGCCACAGTAAGATCAGATATGCAATTGTTACTTTGCACGTCATTTGCACGTGTCAAGGCTTACGTCACCTCGACTACGCCTATCTCTCACACCTGTCGTCTGACGCACACCACGTCATTCGCGTACTCAACCTCGTTGGCATCACATCTTGCCACCCTAGCAGAAGCTGCTGGGAACTGTTTCAAGAAGTATGATTGCAAAGCCCCATTCACAGTGTGCAATCTCCTGACGTTTCAACTTTTAGCCTACCTAAACATCTTGCCTAGCCCTCACGTCTCCCTCCAGGAATCCCGTCATGCTATACACGCTCCACCCTGGACTCTCCTGTCCCGTCTTCCCGCCCAGACACTTATTTCCCCTGCCCGCCTGACTACCTTCCTCCTCTCTTGTTTTCCGCGCCGCATTCATTCCAACACACTCGCACGAAGAGAGAGCCCCATCAGCTTGACCGACCTCAGTGAGCTTCTGGGTTGAATCCACCAGCCATTTATGACCACCGTTCTCCCTTGCTTTCTTTCAGAGACGCACATGTAGATTTCCGAGATCACCCGACCAGATACCTCGTCTCTATCCCAATCATCTCCGTTCGAAATCGCTCACATCCAATACGGTACAGTGCGGTGCAGCACGCCGTGCGCAGAGCTCTCTGTTCGCCTTTGCGCCGTTCCTCCCGGCGAATCTTCCGTCCTTGTAACCCGCATCCCTCGCGTACACCATCTTTACACCATCTACCTCAAGCGCGAGCGACATGAGCCTCGCAATGGCCGGTGCTACGGCCGCTGTAGCACCCGTCCTCGCCCCGCTCGCAGCGCATCAGTCCCCAACTCCCCCCACCGCCCGCCGTGTCCCGCACGCGGCAACCAAGCCCATGCACGGGCCGCCATGCGCCGCGTCAGCTGGCCTGCTGCGATGCCCCGGATTCCAAGGGAGCCTCAGAAACCCCACAAGTCCCACCATATTCCGGCATCATAAACATAATAAGTATCATTCCCATCCCCACGACCCCCATCTCCTCTCGCACCGCCACATTTTCGTCCCCGCGTCGCGGTTTGTCGTCGCGGCATCCTCCACTTCTGGCTCCGCCCGCCATGCAGCCGCTTCACCCCCGCCCTTCACTCCCCACTCGCACCGCCCCCCCGCACACTCCCCCACTCACTCCCCCGCACACTCCCCCTCGCACTCTCCGTCACCGTCCCCGTTTCTGGAACACTTGCCGTCCGCGAACGCGCCTCCTCGCAACTCGGTCAGCGCCGTCAACGCCGCCGCCACCAACGCTGCAGCGTCGCCCTCCGTCTCGCCAGACACGCGAGCAGCCGCCATTTCCGGCGGAATGCCCGGAGTGGTACCATCCCGAGTACCCTCCGCCGTGGACGGCACGCCTGCCGACCGTCAAGTTCTGGCCGGCGACCTCCTCTGGTTGCCGTCCGAGGCGCCGCTCGACGGCAACGAGCACGGGCCGGCACGGCCGCCGCTGTCGTCGCAATCGAGCCGTTCATTCACGGCCCTCCACGTGGCAGAGATCCTGAACTTCTTGCATGGGCCTCCCCCATCGGTCGTAGGCGCACCTCGTGTTGCGCAACAACACGCGGAAGTTGCGGAAGTTGCGGAAGTTGCGGAAGCCGCAGAAGTCGCGGAAGTTGGAAATACCATGCACCCCGCCCGTCGCGAGGAGGCGGAGGCGGAGGTGGAGGCGGAGGCGGAGGCGTTTCCGCCGCAATCACCCCGTGCCCCAGTCGCTGCGGCGGCGGCGGTGGCGGCGGAACCGTTTCCGCCTGTGCCGATTTTGGCGCCTGCGGCTCCAACGGCGGCTTCGCCCGTCACGCAAGAAACAGAGGTCGCGGCGGCGGTGGCGGCGGCAGCAGCGGCCCGCGCGGCGTCGACGAGCGCAGCGCGGTGGTCGCGAGTGTACAGCCACGTGAACGAGGAGCGACCGCGCGAGTACTGGGACTACGAAGCCATCCACATCCCCTGGGGGTACGCGCGGCGGGCAGTGCGGGGAAAGAGCTGGGAGTGCGGGGAGTGCGGGGAGTGCGGGGAGTCCGGGGAGTGCTGGCAGTGGGGGGAGTGTGGGCGGGCGGGCGTTGCCGTATTTTATCTCCTTTTTCAAAGCCACCCCCTCCTTCTTGAAGGTTTGAATGTGGGAGCGCAGGGCGCGGGAAGAAAGTACCGCAAGGCACCTGCAGCCCTGCCCTCTTCCCCGCTTCCCCTCACCCCGCTCCTCCCGTTGACCCCCCTTCCCCCGTTCCCTTCCCCCGTCCCCTACCCCCGACCTCTTCCCCCGTCCGCTCCCCCCGCAGCGAGCAGGCGGACTACGAGCTGGTGCGCAAGGTGGGGCGCGGCAAGTACAGCGAGGTGTTCGAGGCGCGCACCGTGCGCGGCGGCGCCAGGTGCATCATCAAAGTGCTCAAGCCCGTGCGCCGGAAGAAGGTGCGGGGGCGGGGGGAAGGCGGGGGAGGGGGGAAGGGGTGGGGGGGAGGAGGGGGAGGGGGAGATTGAGGGAGGAGATGGAGGTGATCTAGGTTGGGATGAAGATGGCGGATGGGAGCGGGCGGATGCGGGGTGATTGTGGTATTGAGAACGAAAAGGCGCACCTGGGGCAAGGAGAAAGAAACATGCACGCAATAGAAAGACACGTACACAACGTACTTCCATCCATCCTCTCCCCCCCCTTCCTTCCCTCTCCTCCCCCCTTCTTCTCTCCTTTCCCCCGCTCTCCACGCCTCCTCCCTCCCCCCTCTCGGGTCCGTGTACCGCGAACCAACGCCAGATAAAGCGCGAGATCGATCAAGGTGCTGCAGAACCTGGCGGGCGGGCCCAACATCATCCACCTGCCAGACCGGACGTGGTGCGCGACCCCTTCCACAGCCCCACATCTTCCCCCTCTCCCCCCCCCCACGCGCTCTCTCTTTCCTCCTCCGTCCTCTCCCTCCCCCTCGCAAGCAGATAAAGCGCGAGATCACGGTGCTGCTGCAGAGCCTGTCAGGCGGGCCCAACATCATCCACCTGCTGGACTGGACGTCGTGCAGGTCTCAGCCCACCACGCCCTCTCTCTCCTCGCCTCTCAATCCTTCTACTTCCCCCTTCCCCCTGTCAGATAAAGCGCGAGATCAAGGTGCTGCAGAACCTGGCGGGCGGGCCCAACATCATCTCCCTGCTGGACGTGGTGCGCGACCCCTTCACGCGCACGCCCGCGCTCGTCTTCGACCTCGTGGATGCGATCGACTGGAAGCTGCTCTACCCCACCTTCACTGACCTCGACGTCCGCTACTACCTCTACCAACTGCTGCTGGTGAGTGGGGGAGGGGGGTGGGGAAGGGGGGGGGGAGGGGAGAGGGTAGAGAAGGGGGGAGGGGAGGCGTGTGGTCGGTGACTTGGGCTGACATCCGTTGACTCGCTTGACTGTGAGCTGCTCTACCCCACCTTCACGGTTCATCACATCCGATGCTACCTCTACCAGCTGCTGCTGGTGAATGGGGAATGGGGAGGGGGAGGGGGGAGGGGGAGGGGGGAGGGGAGAGGGGGGAGGGGAGGTGTGAAGGTGGGCAGCCGAGAGGCATGCGATTCTGTGACCTGGGTTGAATGAGCCTCGTTGACTCTCTTGACTGGGAGCTGATGTGCGCTACCCTCATGGTCCTTGACTTAGCCCACCCGCACGGCATCATCCATCGCGATGAGAACGATTCTCAAGCGCCGCTCCGGATTCACTATCTGCACCCCTCTTTCCTCATCCCTGCCCCTACTCCCTGCTCACCTCCCCTTTCCCTCCCCTCCCCTCCAACCCCCGCAACCCCCCCAATCCGCGCCCCCCCCTCCCCTCCCCCCCTCCCCCACCATCACAGGCGCTGGACTTTGCGCACTCGCAGGGCATCATGCACCGCGACGTGAAGGATTCTGAGGCGCCACTCTAGATTCACTGTCCGCTCCCCTCTTTCATCATCCCTGCTCCCACCCCCCCTCCCCCACCATCACAGGCGCTGGACTTTGCGCACTCGCAGGGCATCATGCACCGCGACGTGAAGCCGCACAACGTGATGATCGACCACCAGCGCCGCCAGCTGCGTCTCATCGACTGGGGTCTCGCCGAGTTCTACCACCCGGGCATGGCCTACAACGTCAGGGTCGCCTCCAGGTGCGTGTTGTGGTGGGGGGAAGAAGGGAGGGATGAGGTAGGGAGGAAAGGGGGAGGGGGGAGAAAAGGGAGCGGGGGGTAGGAAGGGGGGAGAAGTGGGGAGGGAAGGGGGAGGGGGAGGGGGACAGGGGGAGGGGGAGGGGGGGGGTGAGGAAGCGAGGAAGGAGGTTGGGTTGGCGGTGTCGTTTGTTTTCTAATCGTGACATTGGTGGCAGCTGGACAACGCCATGCCAAAAAAAAAAACAGCATGTCCCCACTGCTGGTACTCTTTCCGTGCCTTTCCTTACCTTTCCTTGCCTGTCGCTGGCTGTCCTGTCGCTGGCTGTCCTATCGCTGGCTGTCCTGTCGCTGCTGGCAGGTACTTCAAGGGCCCGGAGCTGCTGGTGGACCTGGAGGAGTACGACTACTCGCTGGACATGTGGAGCTTCGGCTGCATGCTCGCCGGCATGGTGAGTCGACTCACCAGCAAGAGGGGGGCAGCGCGTGGGAGGGGCGTGGCATAGCGCGGCATGGGAAAGGAATGGCGTGACGTGGCATGACGTGGCATGGTATGGCATCGCATGGTTTGGCATTCGATGCAGTGGTGTACACTACCGTGCTTCCTTCCCTGTGCCTACACTCCCTAACTGTTGCATTTCAACGTCCTCCCCCCTTCTGGCTCCATTATCAACTCCCTCGTCCCCCCCTTTTTCCTTCCCCCCTTCCCCCTTTCTCCCCCCTTCCCCACTGTCTGTGCGCGCGGTGCCTAGCGCAGGTGTTTCGGCGCGAGCCCTTCTTCTGTGGGTGGGACAACGCGGACCAGCTGGTGAAGATTGCGCAGGTAAGGCATGGGGGGGGGGGCATGGGGGGAGGCATGGGGGGGGGCATGGGAGAGGGGAGGCGAGCTGGGGGAGACGGGCGAGACATGGGGGAGAACTGGTACACGCAAGTGAGGTCAGCTTACCCAGAGGGAAGACTGGGTATATACCCAAAGAAATATAATTGTGTTAGCGCCACGAACGAGTGGCCTTGTTAGCAGCTCTACTCTAGTAGCAGCTCCCCTCAAGGAAGAGAGAGGCCTACTAGCAGCTCTTCGTCCGTCTTTGTGGAGGAGCTGTTTGAAAACAGTCCGTCTTGAGTCAAAGAGGAGGGAGGGGCGTGGCAAACACGTCTCTGTCATTCATATCTTTGAGGCGCCTCCATGGCAAAAATAGACTCCTCACGGAGGGGCGTGGCAAACACGTCTCTGTCATTCATATCGAGAGGTTGCTAGCCAGTGTAGTCCTACACCGACTTCAGGGTTCAGGGTTCAGGGCGGGGTACTGGGCTCGGAAAATGTCACTCAATGCAGGCGTACCACTCCTACTGACTCCTCTCACGGTCTTCCCTTCTCCATGTGTCCATTCCGTCCCCCTCCCCCTCCCCCTCCCCCTCTGCCCTTCCCTTTCTGTCCCCGTGCATATGTGAGCGTGCGTGTCCGTGTGTGTGTGCCCGTGCGTGCATGTTTGCATGTGTGTGTGAGTGGCGGTGCAGGTGCTGGGCACGGACGGGCTGTTTGACTATGTGAAGCGGTACGGTGTGAAGATGGACCCGCACCTGCAACTCTTGCTCGGCAGGTGCTGTGCTGCCCCCTCTGCCTTGCTGCCCCTTTTGCCATACTTCCCTCATGCGTGCTTGCCACTGCCCTAATGGCTCCTCCTTTTCCCCTTTTAATTGAAAGTCTGGGCGCAGCACGTTTTCTTACCCCTCTCTCGCTCTTCTCTTCCCTAACTGTCCATTCCCCTCCCCTCTCCCTCCGCCCTTCCTTTCCCCCTTCCCCTTTCCTTTCCCCTTTCCCCCTTCCTTTCCCCCTTCCCCCTTCCTTTCCCCCTTCCCCCTTCCTTTCCCCCTTCCCCCTTCCCCTTTCCTTTCCCCCTTCCCTCCCCCCAATCCCCCCTTCGCCCCCATCTGCAGGCGACCGCGCAAGCCATGGTCGCGATTCGTGACATGCGACAACCACCACCTGGTGTCCGCTCAGGTGCGACTAGACCGGGGCCTCACCTCAGGGTCCGAAGGGTCTGACGGGTCCGAAGGGTCTGAAGGTTTTGACTTTAGAGTCAGCTAAAAAGTGATTCGTGCCATGCTGCAGCAACCACCACCTGGTGTGGTGTCCGCTCAGAGGCGACTGGACTGAGGTCCCAGGTTGGCTGTTCAAAGCTTGAACACGGAGGATTGACGATGGAAAGTTGGAGTTTGTTGAGTGGTGCTTCGGCAGAAGTGCTTCAGCCGAGTGTTGGCATGCTCAGGCAGACGTCTTGGGGCATGTGCATGGCGCCCTGAGCTGTTCCCTGCACCCTCCCTTTCTCCCACCTGCCTCGAGCCTCCTGCTCCCCCACCCCCGACCTGTCCTTTACAGGCTGTGGACTTGATAGACCAACCTAGTTTGAGCCGCCTCAGAACTGCACTTCTTTCCCCCACCCCCCGACCGCCTGTGCTTCACAGGCGGTGGACTTGATAGACCGCCTGCTGCGCTACGACCACAGCACACGCCTCACTGCACAGGAGGCCATGGTGGGTGCTGCTGACGGTGGGGGGATGGGAGGATGGGGAGAGGAGGGAGGGGGAGTTGTGGCGTGGGAAAGGGGCGATGGTGGGTTGCTGGGATGGCGATTGAGTTGAAACCAACTCCATGGTCACCGTCTGTTGCGCTACGACCATGGCACACGCCTCACTGCACAGGAGGCCATGGTTGGTGCATGGGGTGGGGGAGGCGCGCGGGGGTGTAATGGCATGGGGAGGGAGCGATGGTGGGGTGATGGAATTGGTTTTGAGGAGATTCAGGACGAATCAACACAGTCACCCTCGTGAGAGCTGTGGCAAGGAGATTGGGGGTGGTGGGGTGGTGGGGTGGTACTGTGGGGGATGCAGGCAGGCCAGTGCGGGGTGCCATGGAGGGATGGGTGCTTGTCGGGGTCATGTGGGTGGTCGTTGCCACATCGCCCTCTCTCCTCCTCTCACACCTCTCCTCTATCCCTCCTCTCTCTCTGCCCCCCTCCCCTGTGCCCCTCTCAGGCGCACCCGTTTTTCGATCCTGTGGCGCCTGGAAGGGGTGCGGCTGTGTGAACGGAGTGATTGGTGGTGATGGGTGGTGATGTAGGGCCCAGAATGTAGGACACTTGTGAAGGGGTGGAGTCGGGAGAGGAGACAGGATAGGCGGAGGCAATGCAGGGAAGCAAGGCAGGGGACAGGTCCTCTTCTCTCGCTCTCGTTCTCTCCCTCTCTCTCTATATGCCTCGTGTGAGACGAGTACCACCATGTACATACATACAGCACAAGCTGCCTTTTGATTTTGGCGTGGAGCACACGCGAGTAAATGACTCGCGCATCCCCCCCCAGCGTCCAGCGTCCAGCGTCCAGCGCCCAGCACCCAGTCCCATCAACTCGATGCCCATGCGATGATCTTCTCCACTGCAGCTCTCTCCCTGCAGCCCTTCCCTCGCTGCTCCCTTTCCGAGCAGCAAAGTTACCCTGCCCGTACTCAGCTGCCATCTACTGGTGGCTGGTAGCTGGTGGTTGGTGCTGCACGAGAGATTTGTAGGCACAGTGCAGGGGGGGCGAAAGCTTGTGGTTGGCTTGTTATGAATTTTGTATGTGTTGCACTTGCTGGCACGCACTAAGCGTGCTTACAATTGTGTTGCTTACATGTTTTGTTGTGTAAAGTGTTGGGTTTTATTGTCGAGTCAGTTTTCTTGCACAAGTGGAGCTAATTACACATTATCCATGTACAACTCCAAGTTGCCCTTGCCTTTCTCATTAAGATATCAATCTATTCAAACTTGTGCACCTGACTGGAAGCGGCTTTTCCCATAACTAGGTCGCTCATTACGGCGCCCTCTCATGGCAATGGCCGTTCTTCCCTGCTTTGATTCCGCTGGCGAGGCGAGCAGAGCAGAGCAGAGAACCACCTCAGGTGTGCTGCTTTCCCTCGCTCCACACTCGACATATATCTGTCTCGCTCTTCGTCCCCCCTGCAGACAAGCCATCAAGGTGTTGTTGTTTCAAGCGTTCACGTTCTCAGAAAAAGCGCAGGCCGCCGTTCTCGCAACCACCTTTGCCAGGCGTCGTCTTGCTCCTCTCACTGTAGAAGCCGCTTCGGAGGTCGGAACATCGGGATCAATCGGATCGGTATCTGCTTGAGCTTACCGCGCGTTCCGTGCCTCAGAGAGTCGGTTTCGGGGCTCTTTTCCCTCCGGTATTGCTTGAGAGCTGTAGTCAGCACGTCTCCTCGACCGCGTGATTTAACGATTCGTCCGAGCAGTCGCTAAGTCGGGGGAACGAGGAAGGAGTTTGGACGGGAGCACGAGAGCGCTTGCGATTGCGCTTGCGTAAATTTGGCGACGTTGACGAGCGAGAGAGCAGTTTACCGCCCGTGATCGCGACGAGCTTGTGCTACTAACGAGATTTCCTTCTTCGTCCTCTCTACTGCTCCATCTCCCGCCCGTCGGACCTCCATCTCCGGCTCTATACCTTTCTTCCACTAGACGGTGCGTCGCTCACTCCATCCCCTGCACGCTACGCGCGACCAGCTACCCGCAACCCGCCACGCGCAACCCGCTAGTGCTACGCGGGCCATCCGCTTTCGCTTCGCTACGCGATGTTCGCGAAATTCCGGCAGCAGCAGCAGGCGGAGGCGGAGGCGGAGGCGGGGGCGGGGGGGGGCTCATGGGAGGCCGAGGAGCCCGAGCCGACGGAGCTGAACCCGAGCAAGTGCGGGCAGCGGCTGCTGCTGAGCAAGGACAAGCTAAGCGTCACGTACACGGGCAACGGCACGCACAACAACGACGTCGGCGCGATCCAGGCCAACCGCGCCGCGCCGTGCCAGCGCGCGATCTACTACTTCGAGATCGTCGTCAAGGACCGCGGCGCGCGCGGGTGCGTCGCTGTTGGGTTCGCGGACTCGAGCTTCAAGACGTGCCGGCAGCCGGGGTGAGTTTCGAGTGGCGAGTGGCGAGTCGCTGGCGAGTGACTCTGGTCTCACCTGGCGAGAGGGGTTTGGGAATTCGCTGGAAGAGCCGTCGGGTTGATGCGAAAGGGTTTGTTTCTCAAGGACCGCGCGCCCCCCGGTGGGTGCGTTGATGTTAGGCTCGCGGACTCGAGCTTCAAGACGTGCTGGCAGCCGAGGAGAGGAGGGGAGGGGGAGAGAGGGAGAGAGGGAGTGCGGGAGAGGGGGAGAGGGGGGAGGAGGGGAGGGCGGGGAGTGGGGAAGGAAGGGGGAATATGCGAGTCGGAGCTAGTTTGGGTTGCGGGATCCGCTGTTGCCGCCTGCCTGCCCTCCTGCCTGCCCTCACCTCACCGCACTGCACCACTCTGTTCTCATCTCACCCCCCTTGCCTGTGTCCTCCCTCTTGGGCGGGCGCGGCGTGGTGGCAGGTGGGAGGCGAGCAGCTAGGGGTAACACGGCTACCTCACCTCACCGCACTGCACCTCTCTGCTCTCACCTCACCGCACCACTCTGTTCTCACCTCTCACCCCTTGCCCCTTTCCTCCCTCTCTGGCGGGGCGTGGCGGCAGGTGGGAGGCGAGCAGCTACGGGTACCACGGGGACAACGGCAAGGCGTACCACAACAGTGGGCGCGGGGAGGCGTACGGGCCCGACTTCACCACCAACGACGTCGTGGGCGCCGGCATCAACTACGGCGCGCAGGAGATATTTTTCACGTGAGTGGCTGCTGTGTTTGAGTCGACCCAAAAGCCGGGGGGAGGCGTGCGGACCGGTGGGCCTGACTTCACCACCAACGACGTCGTGGGCACGGGCATCAACTACGGTGCACAGGAGATCCTTCTCACGTGAGTGGCTGCAATGCCCACGGCGGCTTATTATTGTAGATTCTCGAGAGTGGGCCTGGGGAGGCGTACGGATGGGCCCGAATTCACCACTAACAGCGTCGTGGGCGCGGGCATCAACCATGGACCGCAGGAGATCTTCTTCACGCTTTTGAGTCGACTCAAAAGCAGACTCAAAAGCAGACTCAAAAGCAGACTCAAAAGCAGACTCAAAAGCAGACTCAAAAGCAGACTCAAGAGCAGACTCAAAAGCAGACTCAAAAGCAGACTCAAAAGCAGACTCAAAAGCAGACTCAAAAGCAGACTCAAAAGCAGACTCAAAAGCAGACTCAAAAGCAGACTCAAAAGCTTCTTCACGTGAGTGCCTGACACGCCACGCCCCTGCGGGGCTGGGGGATGCACTATTTTTCTTCTCATGCCTCTCTCCGTCTCATGCCTCTCCCTCCCGCCGCTTCCCCGTGCCTTCACTTCTTGCCGCTCTCATTGTACGACTTCTGATCCCCACATCTCGTGTCTCTTCACCTTTTGGGTTGTTGCTGCTTTTGAGCCGCTCAAGCTGAGAGCTTGACACAGCCCTGGCCTTCTGGCTCCTGGATTGCATGCCCCCCCCCAACCCTGCATGCCTCTCGGATGCTGCTCACCCCTCACTGCCCGTGCCCACCCCTCACTGCCCGTGCCCACCCCTCACTGCCCATGCCCACCCCTCACTGCCCGTGCTCACCCCTCACCGCTGGTGCATGATTCTCTCCCCTCCCTGTGTGTGTGCGCTGCCGTCTCCCCCTCCCCCCCCCCCCCCCCGGCAGCAAGAACGGCAAGTCGCTGGGGCCGGCGTTTCGAGATGTGAAGGGCGAGCTCTTCCCCACCATCGGCCTGCACAGCCCCAACGAGAGGTGCGCCCGTCATGGGAGGTGTGCGCTCATTTGAGGTGCGCGCATCATGGGAGGTGTGGGCCGTGATGGGAGGTGGGGTGGTAGTGTGAGGAAGGATGCTGTACCCCTTTGGTTCTCTGCTTCCTGCCGGGCGCCCTGCCGTGCACCCTGCTGTGCTTCTTGTTTTGAGGCGCCTCAAAACTGTGCTTCCTGCCAGGCACCCTGCCGGGCACCCTGCTGTTCTTCTTGTTCGCTCCCTATTCCCTGCAGGTCCACCGCCCGAGGAGTCCACTTTTGAGGCGCCTCAAAAATAGACTCCTGCCGGGCACCCTGCCGTTCTTGTTCGCTCCTTATTCTCTACAGGTCCACCGCCCTCTCGCCTCCTCCCCCTCCCCCCACCCTGCCTCTCCTCCCCCCACCCCGCCCCTCCTCCTCCCGTCCAGCGCTACACCTCTCCTGTCGCCAGTCCTCTCACCCCTCACTCTCTCCCCCTCCATGCATCATGCGCCATGCATCATGTGCCATGCATCATGTGCCATGCATCATGCGCCATGCATCATGCGCCATGCATCATGCGCCATGCATCATGCGCCATGCATCATGCGCCATGCATCATGCGCCATTCATCATGCATCATGCGCCATGGGTCATGGCAGGGTTGAGGTGAATTTTGGGCAGAAGCCGTTCCTATTTGACGTCCAGGTGATTTCTCGCATCCTCACTCGCTGCCTCTCATGCGCCTTGCTACCGGTCCCATTTCTGCCGTTCCTGTTCCTACCGTTCCCACATCCTGGGTAATGATTTTGCAATGCCTTACCCTGTTGCATTTGCCAAGGGAAATGCTATTATGCTATTACGTGCGTTCAATCTTTCAGTAGCTTTCCCCCGAACGAGAGATTTTTTAGAATTCTCAAAAATCTTCCCCCCCACCTCTGGGTTGCTCTTCTGTCCCTTCCCCTCTTTCATTTCACCCTCCCACCTCCCTCCCTCCCTCCCTCCCTCCCTCCCTCCCTCCCTCCCTCCCTCCCTCCCTCCCTCCCTCCCTCCCTCCCTCCCTCCCTCCCTCCCTCCCTCTACACGATGTCGTTCTTTCCTCTTTCCTCTTCCCTATATCCTCTTTCGTATTTCCTCTTTTCTTATGTCGTCACCTCTCCCCCATGCCCATGGGCCATGGCAGGGCATGGTGATGGAAGAGCGCGCCAAGGCGCAGCATGCCATAGACCGCATTCCCCTGTCGCCACACATCACACACAGGTACCACGCCATGTGCAACTGTGCGCATCTGACCCCTCTCACCTACCTTTGAGTTTTTGTCATGTGTGCCAAATGATGTGTACCGTGTGCCATGTGCCGTGTGCCTTGTGCCTTGTGCCGTGTGCCGTGTGCCGTGTGCCGTGTGCTGTGTGCCGTGTGCTGTGTGGTGTGTGGTGTGCCATGTGCCATGTGCCATGTGCCATGTGCCTTTTAACCATGTGCTGTGTACCACCCACCCCCTGCGCCCCCAATCACCCCTTCCTCGTCCAGCATAGTGCAGTCGCACATCCTCTTTCATGGCTACCACCAACACACTTGCTGCGTGCGATGCTGCTCCTCTCCCTGCCCCTTTCCTTCCATCCAGCCACTGTCTCTGTATCAACGCCCCCCCTCTCTTCCCCCCCCCCCTCCCCCCGCCTCACTCCAATCACCCCTTCCTCGTCCAGCATAGTGCGGTCGTATCTCCTCTTCCATGGCTACGCCGACACACTTGCTGCTTTCGATACTGCCAGCAACCCCCCTGTTGCAGTTCCTGATGCTGCTGCTGCTGGTGCTGGTGCTGGTGCTGGTGCTGGTGCTGGTGTTGCTGCTGCTGCTTGTGGCGTGGCAAACGGAACAGTGGAGTCCGCTTCTCTGCTGCAACCAGCAGCAGCAGAAGCAGCAGAGGGAGGAGTAGGTGGGAGAGGAGGAGGAGGAGGAGGAGGAGGAGGAGGAGGAGGAGGAGGAGGAGGAGGAGGAGGAGGAGGAGGAGGAGGAGGAGGAGAAGGAGGGGGCGGGGAAGGGGGTGTGAGGGGGAGGGAAACGGCTTCTGGTCCAGAGCCTATGGAAATCTCAGCAGCCACAGGGATGGATGCTGCAGGTGATACCAAACCCACTCCTTATTGTTTCGGCACCACATAAAGATTGTTCAGCCGATGTTTTAGGCGCCTCAAAAACCATCAGAGCCCATGGGAGTGACAGCTGCAGGGATTTTTGAGTCGACTCAAAAACCACCTAAGTGACAGCCGCAGGGATGGATGCTGTAGGTGATGCCAAGCCCATTACTGTAAACCCCTAACCATGCTGCATGTATGTGATGCCGAAATCACTGCTTCAAACCTTAAACCCTGAACCTTGCTGCAGGTATCGCCTAGCCCACTTGCTCTGCTTTGGCTTTTTGTCTGCTTTGGCTGCTTTCACTGCCACTGCTTCTCCACATGTTTGTGTTATTGCCGTCTGTATTCTCCTCACATGCTCATTCTCCTGCTCGTGGATTCTTTCGCTGCTGCTGCTGCTGCTGTCACTGCCGCTGCTGCCGCTGCTGCTGTTACTGCTGCTTCCACTCTTGTAATTGCTGTTGCCATCGAAATGTGGGTGCAGATGCAAAACCTCCAGGCAACACGCCAGGAGGGCCAGGAGGGCCAGGAGCAGCAGCAGTAGGGTTGGCGAGGCCGCCTGTGACAGGGTGTGAGGCATCGTGGGCGGCTGTGCTGACAGGCACTCTCGCCTTCCGAGCTCAAGTCAGACAGGTGGGCTTTTCCGCTCTGCTCTCTCCCTCTGTGTTCCTCTCCTGCCTCTCCTCCCTCTTCGCCTTCTCCGCCCTCTCCGCGCCGTCTCTACTCGACGCTCCCCTCGTTCCATTCCTCGTTCACTTAATCTCCCCCCACCGTTCCCCCCCTCCGTTTCCCCCTCTCCCTGTGCGGTGCTGCGGCGCCCTGGCAGCTGATACGAGCGGGGCACATGGACGCTGCGTTGAACAAGCTCTTTGAAGTGCTGCCACAGCTGCTGCAGGTGATGCCCATGGCCGTGCGTGCAGTGGGTGGGATGGGCATGCATGCATGCATGCAGGAGGTGGGATGGGCGTGCATGCATGTAGGAGGTGGGATGGGCGTGCATGCATGTAGGAGGTGGGATGGGCGTGCATGCATGTAGGAGGTGGGATGGGCGTGCATGCATGTAGGAGGTGGGATGGGGGCATGTCTGAGTATGTGTGATGGGCATGCGTGTGCATGCTGCATGTGATGGGCCTGGCGTGCATGCAAGCAGTTATCCTTTGGGAATTCGAGAAGCACAACTGACTGGGGCGTCCTCTGTCCATTACCGCCTCCTCTGTCCATGTGTAATTTTGAGCAATGAATTGTCCATTACCTCCACCTCCCCAACCGCCTCCTCGTCCCCATTCCGCACATTGTCGCATCGCAGAATGACAGAGCAGGAGTCACTTTTCTTCTCCGAACCAGCAAGTTTGCGGAGATCGTTCGGGTATGTATCCATGTGTGTAGCCCACTGTTGCTGCCCCGTTGTTGCCGCCGTACTCTTGTCTTATGTTTTTTAGAATCCTAAAAAACATAACTCATTCCGTACCCTTGCTCTCCCTAGCCCTCTCCTGCCTTCTCGTCCTGTCCCCTCGTTGCTCACTTCCGCCCTCCCCAACGTCATCTCACCCTCGTGCGCACGCACTCACTCGCTCCCCTCTCCTCGCTTCCCCTCGCCCCTGCCTGCTAGTCTCCGTGCCACCCGTATCAATTTACCTCTACACCTGCCTCACTTTCCCTTCCCTCATCTCCCTCCTCCCCTCCCCGTTGTCTCCTCCCCGTTCCTCTCCCCCACCTCCTTTCCCCTTACCCGTCATCCGCCCCTTCCCCGTCGTCCCACCTCCCCCCGCCTCTTCCCAGTCGGGGTCACTGGAGGCAGCGCTGGCTTATGCGCGCTCAGAGCTCTCTGGCTTCCGAGGCCGCTCGCCCGACCAGGACGCGCTGCTGGAGGTGCGGGATGGGTGGGGGGGGGTGGGGGTGGGTTGGTGGGGATAGAAGAGGGGGTAGTGGGAGGCGGGTATGGAGGGAAAGAAAATAAAAACGACGTCCTATAACAAGGCTGCCTCACACCTCTTGGCATACTCCTATGCAACCACCAGTCCCCACTCTTAGCCCCTGCTCCCCGCACTCTCACTCATGCATTCGCTCCATCTTCTCCTGCACTTGTCACTCGTTCTCCTTTTCTCCCCAGGACTTCCTTGCCCTCTTGGCGTATCCGGATGCAGCCACCAGTCCGCTCTCCTACCTCCTGCGCTCCTCCCATCGTGAGGCTGTAGCTGATCAGGTCAACATCGCTATCCTCTCTACCGCTGCCACCTCCTCCACCCACTCCCTCCTCTCTCCTCCCTCCTCACTCTCCCCATCGGGTCCACTCGACCTCGCTGCCCCTGGGGCTGCCGCCAATGCTGCCGCTGCTGCTGCTGCTGGTGCTGCTGCTGCTGGTGTGTCTGGTGGTGATGGTGGTGCTGGTGCTGCTGGTGATGATGGTGCCGCTGCCAAGCCTGCTCCAGAGTCGAGTGACCACGCTGTTTCGATGCCTGGAAGGGTTGGTGGCAGTAGCAATGTCAGTGGATCGTTACTTGGAGCAGTGGGGAGGATATCAAGTGAAAGGGTAGGAGCCTCCGCAGTAGAAGGTGCAGAAACAGCAGCAGCAGCAGCAGCAGCAGCAGCAGAGAGAAGCACGCCCATGGATCTTCTAGACCTGTCTCTTCCTCTCTCGCTTGACCTCCACTGCCTGTCCATCCCTGCCCCTTGCCCTCCCTCCTCCACTGCTGCTGCTGCCTCTGCTTCTGCTGCGTTTGCTGATACCGCTGCTGCTACTTCAGCTGCTGCTGCTGGGGGTGTTGTTCCCACAGAGCGGTTGAGAGCGGTGCTGGAGGTGCTGCTGAGGCAGCTGGCGGTGTGCCATGAGGAGAGGAGGGAGGCAGCAGGGGGGCAGGGAGAGCTGTTCTGCTTGCAGCGCATGATGGGAGGGGGGAAGGATGGAGGCGTGTGGTGAAAGATGGGGGCGTGTAGTGAAAGTTTTGAGGCGTCTCGAAGCTGGAGTACTTCCCCAGGGAGAGCTGTTGTGCTTACCGCAGGGCTTGCTGGGAGGGGGAAAGGATGGGTGTGTGTGGTGAGAGATGGAGGAGGAAACGGGGAAAGGAGGAATGGGCTCTTCTGGAGGAGAAACGGCGAATTACAGAGTGGCGAATTACCCGTCAAGAATTCCGTTTTGTGTGCAAAAGGAGGAGAAGTGGGTTCTTCTGGAAGGAGAAGGAGAGAAGGGAGGGAAGGACTGGGAAAAGGGGTTCAAGGTAGCAGCTTTGGGGATGGGGATGTGATGATGGGGAGAAGGAAGATGAAGGAAGGTGAATGAAGGTGAAGGAAGGTGAAGGAAGGTGAAAGAAGGCAAAGGAAGGCGATTGGGGAAGAGATGAGACAGAACTAGGAGCCGCGAAAGGGGAGGTTGAGAAGAGGGAGTAGGGTTGGTTCGTCTCTGGCTCTGGCGCTCTGACAGTCTCACCCCATTTTCCCACTCGCCCTTGACCCCGACTCTGCAGCCAATTCTTTCATTCCGCCACGTCATCATTCATGACTGCTGGTACCGGTACTTCTGCGTATGCTGGTGCATGTTCAGTGAGCAGTAGTACTTGGTACCATGCATGCTCCATGGTCTGGCACGGTACGGTACCATCTCTACCGTGTGACAGCCGCCTGCCTTGTAGGTAGTAGCTTCAACTGTGACTGGAGAGGAGAATTCTTGTACATTCATGCCTGAACTCACGTACTTACCGTACTACCGGTACCAGAAAGAACCCCACATGAAATAAGGTACGGTTGGTATGTGCTATGGTTTGGTTTACCAAACCTGGGCAGCAGGCGGCCAGGCCGAGCCAAAGAAAACTCAACAATCATAATAATATGCAAGTCTGCAGATTCATAAACAGCCTAGGAATGTACATGCCGTCTGCTCCAGTGGAACGCAACATGAATAAAGACTGATAAATACTATCCGCGCGCGAGCGCTCACGGCCAGTTCCAGCGCAGCCTCTTCACAAATTTGGAATATTGTAGAGATTGCACCATTCGAATGTGCTCTGAGCCGAGAGATGCGCACAGGACAACCTGAACTACATGACTGCGTCATCCCCTCCCTCTTCTCCCCTCCCTCTTCTCCCCTCCCCCCCCCCTCTCCTTCAAAGCTTCCTCCTCAGGGCCCCAATCACCAGCATCCGCAACCTCGCCAGTGTCACTTCCTCCCTCTCCCTCCCCCTCTTCCTCCCCTTCCCCCTCCCCCTCTTCCTCCCCTTCCCCCTCCCCCTCTTCCTCCCCTTCCCCCTCCCCCTCTTCCTCCCCTTCCCCCTCCCCCTCTTCCTCCCCTTCCCCCTCCCCCTCTTCCTCCCCTTCCCCCTCCCCCTCTTCCTCCCCTTCCCCCTCCCCATCCCCCTCCGCCCCCCCTCTCCTTTTCAGTACACACCCACCCACCTCCTCAGACTTTCAACGGCCCGGATTCATCCGGGTCTCTGTACGCACCCATCCGCTTGGCATCAAACGGCGCCGATTGCTCCGACTGATCGTCGTCATGGTACCTCCCCCCTCCAAGACCGTCCCGCTCGTCCCTATGGGTAGGGTCGTCAGAGGGCCCATGTCCGTTGTGCCCATCATGCCCCCCATGCCCCTCGTGCCCCTCCTCGGCCATCTCTATGAAGCGCGACTTCTCGCTCTCGTCCATCACCTCGTCTGCCTCCGTGACGAGGTACACTATGGCGGCCACGAGCAGGATCATGAGCCCTGCCCCAGCCACCGCCAGCCCCATCCAGAAGAACACACTCATGCTGCCCGCCGCCCCCTCTGACACGCCGTGGCCTGGAGACCACGGGAAGGGGGAGCGATGGGGGGATGACGGGACCGGGCAAGGAAAGGGGAAACCAGCAGGGAAGAGGGTTGAAAACGGGTAGGGAGGGGAAGAGATATTGAGGAGAGGAGGGAGAACGGGGGGGAGGGGATGGTGGAAGGGGTGGGCGGATGATCATGCGACAGCAGACGAGGAACACTACGGCCGCCACCAGCAGGATCATGAGCCGATGGATGGGGTACATGGTGGGTACATGGTGGGTGTGGGTACATGGTGCGTACATGGTGGGTACATGGTGGGTACATGGTCGGTTACATGGTGGGTTACATGGTAGGAACATGGTGGGTTACATGGTGGGTACATGGTGGGTACATGGTCGGTTACATGGTGGGTTACATGGTAGGAACATGGTGGGTTACATGGTGGGTACATGGTGGGTTACATGGTAGGTTACATGGTGGGTTACATGGTGGGTTACATGGTGGGTACATGGTGGGTACATGGTAGGTTACATGGTAGGTTACATGGTCGGTTACATGGTGGGCTACATGGTAGGTACATGGTGGGTACATGGTGGGTTACATGGTAGGTTACATGGTGGGTACACGTGTGCTCATGGTCCTTGGGGTTACATGCAAGCATGCCCGTGAGAGTGTCACACCAGCAAACTCCGTTCCCAGCGTCCGGCTCACCAGCAAAGGGGTTGCGTTGGAACTGCGCGTGGTTGCACTCGTAGCACGCCATGTTCACATGGAAGCGGGACGGCACCACGTGAGTGAAGAGCCCTTTGGCGTCCCGGCTGCTGAAGTTGGCGGCGCACACGGTCCACGTGTCGTAGATGGCGTCGCCCAGCCACTCGTGCTCGTACAGCCCGCACTCTGTGCACTCCTCCCGGTGAAGCTTTGCTACAGGCTGGACCAAGGAGAAGAGAATCAGTGTTGAAAGGAAGGCGAGGGATGGGGGAGGGATGGTGGAGGGATAAGAGAGGTATGGGCGACAGGATGGGAGTGAAGGGGGAGGGGAGGGAGGGGAGGGAAGGGACGGGAATGGAGAGGTGACTTGATGGATCCAGGCAGCTCGGTGACTCGTATGCTTCTCGTGTGTAAACCCATTCTTGCCCCCTCACCAATTGTCACCCCCCGATTTCTCCCCGTGTGTACACTCCCCTCACCCTCTACGCCTCTCACCCGCCAGGTCTCTCATCCGCCATGTCTCTCATCCGCCATGTCTCTCATCCGCCATGTCTCTCACCCGCCATGTCTCTCATCCGCCATGTCTCTCACCCGCCATGTCTCTCATCCGCCATGTCTCTCACCCGCCATGTCTCTCATCCGCCATGTCTCTCATCCGCCATGTCTCTCATCCGCCATGTCTCTCATCCGCCATGTCTCTCACCCGCCATGTCTCTCATCCGCCATGTCTCTCATCCGCCATGTCTCTCATCCGCCATGTCTCTCACCCGCCATGTCTCTCATCCGCCATGTCTCTCATCCGCCATGTCTCTCATCCGCCATGTCTCTCACCCGCCATATCTCTCTTCCGCCATGTCTCTCATCCGCCATGTCTCTCATTCGCCATGTCTCTCACCCGCCATGTCTCTCATCCGCCACGTCTCTCACCCGCCATGTCTCTCACCTGCCACGTCTCTCACCCGCCACTCCTCTCACCTGCCACGTCTCGTTGCCTGTGAAGTTGAACCACAGCATCGTCGCGTTCACCCCCGGCAGCCCGGAGACGTCTCAGCCTCATTTCTCACCCACCCACCACCAATCTTCCCGTCTCCCAACCTCAAGTCCGATTCGGCGCTCTCCCCTGCCGCGCCTCTCCCCCTGCCACGCCGCTCACCTGCCACGTCTCGTTGCCCGTGAAGTTGAACCACACCATCGTCGCGTTCACCCCCGGCAGCTCCGTGCGGTTGCCGCCGATGCCGTTGCCGCACGCGAGGTACACGGCGGGCGCCGTGAACCAGCTGTACTTGTGGAACAGCGTGATGCTCGCCAGCGACACGTTGTACGGTATGCCGCCTGGCGGGGGGGGGGGTGGGGGAGGGGGGAGGGGGACAGCGCAGGGTGTGGCGAATTGACGCAGGGGAAAGCCAGACGGAAATCAAGGGGAGGGTGGCTGGGGAAGGGAGAGGAGGGGATGGGATTTGAACCACATGTGGATGAATGGAGTGTGTTCTGGGAGCAGGAGAGCCTGGTAAGGAGGGATCGAGGGGGCAAAGAGAGGGTAAGAAAGGTTAACGGAAGAAAGATCGCCGCACGCGAGGTGCACGGCGGGCGCCGTGAACCAGCTGTACTTGTAGAAGAGCGCGATGCTCGCCAGCGACACGTTGTACGGTGCGCCGCCCGGCGGGGCCACGCGTGGCGGGGGCAACCGTGGGATGGGGGGGGGGGGGGGGAGGCGTGGCGGGGGAGAGGAAAGGGCAGAATGGGGGGGAATTGGCCGAGGAGAAAGAGACGAAGCACAGGGGGGGCAGAGAGGGATCGAGGGACCAAAGCTGCGGGAGCGAATCTTGCTACCAGGGAAAAGGAAGAGTGAAGGAAGGACAGGGAAGAGTGAAGAAAAGTTACCTGAGCACACCGATACGGTCGCTAAAAGGCAAACGACGGCGACAATGGCGTCCAGCCCGCGATGCCGACGTTGCCATGCCATCGCGTGACGGTAGGGGATACTCCAATGGAGTTGGGGAGGTTCTCGGCTGGGGAATCGAACTCGGAACGAAGCGTACAAGATCGGGACGAGGAGAATTATGCTAGAGCGGAAGGGCTGATCGGGAATAGCCCACTGGCTTGACAGACCTAACACATAGGTGATGAGACCTCCCCTACAACGGATGTGATGAGATGAGTGAAGTCGGATCTGCTTATACAGCCATCAGCAGCAGGTGATTACAAGTCGATTTGATGGGTGGAAGGAAAGAAAGGGAACAGCCTTTGGTGGAGGTGGTTTGAGTCATGGAGAATACCGAGGCGGTTGGGAGAGAGAGAGGAGCCTTGAACTTGGTTGGTTGGAGGTGGTTGGTTTGGGGAGTGGCAGCGCGGAGATTCCAAACCGAACTCGACGCTTGGAGGGAAATGAGAGGCCTGGGAATACCGGAAGCGCTGGTATGGGAAGGGAATACCAGGGGGTTTGGCAGGGAATGGAGCTGCGGGAGTTACCAGAAACACTCAAATTATGCCAGGCGTTGGGTGCGTCTGTACTCAAGCCAATCACATGGTTACTTTCCGATGCCCGACACGAGTTTAAGGTTGATGCCTCCTGAAGTACAGCCAGGTTCCCTCTGGGTTTATACTTTTTGGGCTGCCCAGAAACGGTTTGGTTGGCTTGAGTACAAGTGCAAACCAGCTCAGGCATAATTTGAGTACAGCTACCAAACCAGCTCGGGACGCTGCCCATGGGAGAGGCACATTTTGACAGTATTGAACCGAGCCTGATCCGAGTCAGCCGAGAGTCCTGCCGCTGGTTCGGGCTCTGACTACTCGGTTAGGGCAAGATGTCGGCAAGGTTATGAGCCAATCAGGCGCGAGCTGCCGTGGTCTGCTCCGCAGATCTCTGGCAAACGAACAGAGCAACAAAAACGACCGCACGCTTCACTGACAGGTACGACCCTGGGAAGGTCTGGCCTGGCAGACAAATGAAATGTTGCTTGCCGACTACACTACAGCGTAGGTACATGCAAACCATTCTATCAAAGAGCCAAAGGATTAGCATGGATTGTTACTCTATTAATCCGAATCTCCGCAAGAGGCTTGTCTCCTGGACCTGTCTTTGTCTGCATAGCAAACAAAACATAAGGGGAGGGAAGGAAGGGAGACGAACATCTGTTATCCATTTCATTGCAACCCAATTCCAAGATGTGCGGAATTCATAAATCACAAGAAGCACATTACTCGCAACTTTCCCAGCATCCTTCCACCCTCATGCACTCGCCAGATCCCATGTCTTCGTCTCACCTTTTCCATGAGGTCGAGAACGTCAAAGCCATGTATGACCTTGCCAAAGATGGTGTAGAGCCCGTTTAAATGCGGTTGCTTGGCGTATGAAATGAAAAACTGGCTGCCATTGGTGTTGGGCCCACTGTTGGCCATCGAAAGTATTCCACGCACGTTGTGCTGCTTGGGCAGGGAGGGAAGAGCAGAGAGTGAATGAACAAGGGAAAGAATGCAAAGGGAACGACGGCGAAAAGTGGGAGGGGAGGTGGGGGGGGAGAAGGGGGAAAGGGACAGAAGACAATTGTGAGTGGGCTCTGGATAGAAAGTGTCAGTAGAAGCGAGAAACAGCTGGGGGGCTGTTTTCGGTCTTAAAGAAAAAAACACACACACACACACACACACACACACACACACACACACACACACACACACACACACACACACACACACACACACACACACACACACACACACACACACACACACACACACACACACACACACACACACACACACACACACACACACACACACACACACACACACACACACACACACACACACACACACACACACACACACACACACACACACCACACACACACACACACACACACACACACACACACACACACACACACACACACACACACACACACACACACACACACACACACACACACACACACACACACACACACACACACACACACACACACACACACACACACACACACACACACACACACACACACACACACACACACACACACACACACACACACACACACACACACACACACACACACACACACACACACACACACACACACACACTCACACACACACACAAAAACGTCTGCACAGCGGTCACCTTGAGGGACTCGCGGATCTCATCATTGAACTTGCCGCCCCAGATGGACTGCCCCCCTCGGCCGGTGCCTGTGGGGTCGCCGCCCTGGATCATGAACCCCCGGATGTTGCGGTGGAAGATGGTGGTGTCATAGTAACCGCTCGCACACAGGGCCAGGAAGTTCTGCACGCCCGCACGCGCATGGATGCATGTGGAAGGAAGGAAAAGCGGGGACGGGGGGGTGGGATGGGGTGGGGGGGAGACGTGCATGCAACACAGGTTGCACGAGTGGAGACGGAGGAGGGCACGAGCGGATAGAGGGCGGGATACGTGTGGAAAGGCTGGTGCAGTGAAGCAGCATGTGGATGATGACGCTTGCAGATGGAAGGGATTCAGGGGCGGGGAGGGGGGGGAGAGGGGGAAGAAGGGGAGATGGGCCGGGTGGGGGGGTTGTGGGGGTTGGGGTGGTTGGGGGTGTTGAGCAAGGGTGAAGGGCAGGAAAGGAGAGTGAGGGCACTAGAGAGTTTTAGGAGGTTGAGGGAAGGGAGCTTGTGGCACGGGGTTGCTTAGCGTGTGCAGGCGGCGTTACCTCGCATGCTTTAGGCACTTCGTCGCAGAAGAGCTCGCACTTGATATCGCCCAGGTTGGTGTGCAGGGTCACGGACTAGTGGACAGGGGGCAGCAGAGAGCGCAGGGCAGGGAAGGAAGAGGGAAGAGGGAAGAGGGAAGCGCTGGCTTGGATGGGAAGAAAGGGCGATGCCTGAGACGATAATACCAGAAAGGGGGCGGGGAGGGGGAGGAGTAGGAAGGTGTTGGTTTGGGAAATGCGTGGGAGGGAAGAGGATCAAGAGATACGGACGCGGATGCACACGCAGTGCATCAATGCCAGGCGCGCCGTGCCGATCAGCGGAGACAAAAGCGGCATACCATGGCCGAATGTCCGAGCAGAGCTGACTGGCGTGTGGCAAGAGCCGGACGACGATGACGATGACGATGACGATGACGATGACGATGACGATGACGATGACGATGACGATGACGCGAAAGTCGCTGGCAGAGATATGAAATTCTGGAAAAATATGACCTGGATGAGTTCTTTCCAATGCGCATGCACCTCCTCCTCCTCCTCCTCCTCCTCCTCCTCCTCCTCCCCGGGTCCGTCAATTCCTAAACCCTATCGCCACTTCCCTCGTCCTTACTCCAGTTCCGTGAAACGCTGTGCTCCTAAAAGCCGTGGTCAGTTTCTAACAAGCTGAAGCTGCCGCCTTCACCAAGTCCACACTGACAACGTTGGGCTGTAGTGGCAGCAAGGGCGGAAATCCTCGGCACCAGCTGCAGCGTTGTAACGAACGCGCTTAGCTTTGACCTGGCTCTGGAAGACTGAAAAGCAAAAAAAAATGTATCCAAATTCTGGACTAGGTGAGTAATTTGGCCACCTCACCATAATTTGACCGATTTTGGTTCATGACAATTTTTGTATTTTAGGAAGTCCGTTATCGAATATTTATGTGGTAATTCCATAGCAACAAAGGAATAGAAAGCATTGGAATGGGGGTAAGCAGTCATTTGTGGTAAGGGTGTATTTTTGAATAGGTGGCTACGGAAGTTGTATATATAAAGCGAGTTTCTCTACAGTAGAGAATTTACTGGTCGGTTCTGTAGGTCTGCATCCCGTCAGCATTTTGGTGCCAGTGGGGGAGTCAGAATCAGCGCGTGGAACATGGGTTGCGCAACCCATCGAAGTTGCGCAACCCAGTCTGGTTACCAGGTTCGCCAAAACTCGTATGTCGTGTGAAAGATGGGTTAGGCTGAATTTGGTTGGGTTAGATTGGGTTTTTCGTCAGTTGCGCAAACCGGGTTGCGGTTTCGAGGCATGCGCAACCCATGTACCACGCCTGAGCCGCATGAGGGTTACGCAACCATCATTGGCCAAGCTGCTCCTAAACAACGAAACCGACCACACCGCAGATTGCATTGCATAGGCCCCGCACCGCCCTTGACTTTAGGCAGGTAACCACGTTCATTCTACGACGAGCACCTTCTCCTCGTTCCGGCCACCTTGAATTCGCGAAGCCAAGCGTCATCAGTCTCCATGCGCACGGTTACGACACCCATACCATCTTCGATCGCAAGGACTTCGTTGGAATTCGGCAACCCTCGTTTTATCCTGCACTGAAGTTCGTAGATACATTTCTGGCGTGTGTACGATACCAGGGAATCTTGTCCATTCGACTCACACGCGACGTCGCCACCGTTGATCGGTTCTCGAGAATTCCAGGACGCTGCATTTCTGGATGACGTCTGACAGCCGTTAGATGAGTGGAAATCGCAAGATCAAGGGTCAGATTTGAACCATCCTCTGTTGGGGGACCACCTTGGGGATTCCTGGTGAAGAGGTGAAGGTAAGGGGAACAGAACAGAACATCCTCAATTCATGGCCTAGCCAAGCCACGCATTCCGCTTCTGCTCTGCTTTTGGCTGGCTGGTTCCCGAGTCCTGTCTGTGTTCCGTCACGGAAATGTATGTCACATACATTCCAGATTCAGCAAAAACGAGTCAGGCGTTTCCCCTGCATACATCCCTGGTCCTCCTGCTACGGTGACTCGCGAGATAGTCTTTCAGTTGGCAGAGTTGGTGTGGGACGAGATGTCAGCACATAGTCGTCCATAAGTCGTCGCAGTTACACCGCATTTTCGTGTCGTCCCTTGCTTGTTAACCCAGGCTCCTATTTTTCTCCGCATAGTGTAGCATCAAGTGACGCTTTTATATGGCGTTCGTGCTGCTGGTGCCAGCAGCCGGCGCAGCAGCTCTGGGAATCAGAAGTCTGCTAGGGAAAAAGAAGTCACGGGACGACGCATCGGCTAAGAAGCTCATAGCCGACAATATGCCTGACAACGAGAACCCCCTGCCTGACACTTCTCCTGTCGACGGCTCGACCGAAAAGGATAATGCGGGCGACTTGATCGTCAAAAAGAGCCTGGAGGCCAACGGAAACAAAACCGACGGCCCAGATTCGCGCGAGGGAGCAGGCGAGCAGCCAGAGCAGCCGCTGACCGGGGGATCTGATTCGACGGACGCGACCAAGGGATGTTCAAGCGGCGCGAAAAACGCAGGATTAGGCGTGGGTAGCGGTGTGGGGGAAGATACTGCGACGGAGAATGCGGCTGGTGACATCCCCGAGTGCGCATTTCGCCAGGATTCGCCGGAACAAGAAGCTAAGACGGCGGTCGAGAAAACACGGCGATCTTCCAGCAACTGGATTGAGCCCCCCGAAACGAATCTGGCAAATCAAACTGGCGTGGGCGGCGCGGGCGGAACGGTAAATTCTTCCCTCCATGACCGCACTACCAGCCCATCGTCGGAGAAGTGCTTCTCTGGTTCCGTGGCGGATCGCGCGCGCGCGGAGGACGCGGGGGAAGTCGCGGTGGAAGAGCTGGAGCTGCTGGCCATGATTGGCGCGATCCAGGTGACGAAGATGCGCGCGAACGCGAAACGAGCGTCTGCTGCTGCTTCGGCTTCTGCTGCGGGTGCGGGTGCGGTTGAGCCTGGGGGTTCGGGTGCGGCTGCGACTGCGGCTGCGGCGGGTTCGGAGAATGCAGGAGAAGGCGTTGGAGAGAATGTCGCCGCTAACGGCAATGCCGTAACTCGGGGTCCAGCAGCCGGAGCTGACGTGGCGGGCGGATGCGGGGACAATACGGATGTGACTGTGGCGGGAGTAGCAGGTTCGCCTGTAGCGGGAGCAGCAGCAGAATCATCTGCAGCCGTTGACGCGGCGCTGTCCTCCCAGTCAGGCATTTGCGAGGGCGCGCGTCCCGCAGCGCGCGGAGGGGGAATCCGCGGAGAGGAAGGGGGCAAGCGCGCGGAGATGTCGAAGCTGCAGCGCGAGCTGCGGGAGCTGGGGGCAGCGCTGCAGGTGGAGGCGGAGAGGGAGCGCGTGCTAGAGAGCGATATCGAGGCGTCAGAGGACCGGCGGGGGGAAGACGGGCAGGGCGAGGACGAGAGCACGGCAGAAGGAGGCGGGAGAACAGCGAGTGGCGGGGTTGCGGGCGGGGAGGGCAGAGGAAGAGAGGGAAGCGCGGAAAAAAGTGGGATCGGAAGCTCTTGTCAAGAATCGATTTGCCGAGAATCGACGGGAAGCAATGGCGGCCTGGACGTGGGGAGAGGTATTCGGTTTGGCGCCAGGCATTGCAGCTCAGAGCGTGCTGGAGACTCGCCGGGTGTTGCTGATGGTGCAGAGGGTATTGAAAGCCTCGAGAGCAGGCTGCAGGAGAGAGAGGGCCCAGGGGGCAATGCGCGGAATGGCGCGGGGAATGGCGCGCGGAATGGCGCGCGGAATGGTGCGCGGAGCGGTCGCGGCAGCAGCGTTAGGATCAATGCGGCGACGTATGGGAGGCATAGGCGGGGGTTCGCATTGCAAGGGATGCATGGAGATCACGAGACGGCTCTGGTCAACGTGCTCAAGCAGCAGTTGCAGCAGCGGGAGCGGGAGGCGGAAAGGCGGATTCGACGGGCGGAGGCGGTGGGGAGGAAACGAGCGGACGAGGAGAGAAGCGCACGAGGGGAGAGTCTTGAGCGGAGGTTGCAGGAGGTGGAGATGAGGGAGAGGGAGATGAAGGAGAGGCTGAAAAGCGTGGAGGAACGAGAGAAGGAGGTGGAGGAGAGGAGGAGGCACGTTGAGGAAGAGAGGGGGAGGGCAGAAAAGGAGAGAGAGGAGGTGATGGCGATGAGTAATGCGAATGATGAGAGGGTAAAGGAGGTGGAGAGATGGACAGAGGAGGTGAGTTGCGCGAGGGAAGAGGTGATGGCGAAAGAGGAGGAGGTGGATTGGCGAGGGGTGGTGATTGACAAACGAGAAGAGGACGTGAACGGGCGAGAGGAGGCGGTTGGCCGGAGGGAAGAGAAGGTGGGTGCGCGAGAGGAAGGGGTGTTGCGCCGAGAGGCGGAGGTTGATGCTAGGACGCGGGAGGTGGAGAGGAGGGAGGAGGAAGCGGAGGAGAAGCGGAGGAGGATGGAGGGGGAGCTGGAGAGGCTCGGGAGGGACTTAGATCAGGTGGAGCGGCTGAGAGGCGCGTGCGGGGAGAAGGAGACAGAGGTGGCGAGGCGAGGAGAGGAGGTGCAGGGACGAGAGGAGAAGGTGAAGGGACGAGAAGAGGAGGTGAAGGGACGAGAAGAGGAGGTGAAGGGACGAGAAGAGGAGGTGAATGGACGAGAGGAGGAGGTGAAGGGACGAGAGGAGGAGGTGAAGGGACGAGAAGAGGAGGTGAAGGGACGAGAGGAGGAGGTGAAGGGACGAGAGGAGGAGGTGCAGAGGCGGGAGGAGGAGGTTGAGATGCGGGTTAAGACAGTTGGGGAGCGGGAGGAGGAGGTGGAGAGGCGGGGTTCTGAGCTGAAGGATCGGATGGCAGAGGTGGAAGGGGAGGCGGGTGAGGTGAGGAGGCGCGTGAAGGAGGTGGACGAGAGGGAGGGAGCTGTGGGGAGGAGGGAGGAGGAGGCAGCAAAGGCGGAGGGGGGTCTGGAGAGGAGAGAGGAGGCTTTTGGGGTGAGAGAGGAAGAAGTTACGCGGAAAGCGGGGGAGATTGAGGAGAAGGAGGAGGCGATGGGGAGGAGGGAGGTGGAGGTGGAGAAGAGACGGGAGGAGGTGGCGAGGCGAGAGGCGGAGGTGCAGCAGCAGCTGCTGAGTGCGGGCGAGAAGCTGAGGGAGGTGGAGGAGAAAGAACGTGCGATGCTGGTGCTGCAGGTGGGGGTACAGGAGAGAGAGAGGCGAGTGGAGGAGGAGAGGGAGGAGGTCAAAAAGAGGGAGGCGGAGATTGGTCAGCGGGAAGAGGAGGCTGCCTGGAGGGTATCTGAGATTGCTGAGAGGGAAGAGGAGGTGAGGAGGAGAGAGGGTGAGTGTGCGGAGAGGGAGAGGAGGGTGGAGGAGGAGATGGAGGGGGTGAGGGAGGCGATGGGGCGGGTGGCGAGGGGGGCGGCGGGGAATGTGGAGAAGGAGGCGGAGGTGCAGGAGCGGGAAGAGGAGGTGAGAAACGAAGAGAGGAAACTGGCTGGGGCGATGGCAGCGATGGTGAGGAAAGAAGCGGAGTGGAAGGAGAAGGAATCTCAGCTGGAAGCAGACGTGAAGGAGCTGCAGAGACAGAAGGGGGCAATACTGTTGGAGAAAGGGGAAAGGGATGTGGGGAGGGAGGTGAGGGACATCGAAGAGGAGATGGGGGTACTGAGGGAAGAGAGGGCGAAACTTAAGGTGCGAGAAGGGGAGCTGGTGGTATGGGAGGGGAGGATTGAGAGGCAGGCACAAGAGGTGGAGGAAAGAGAGAAGAAGGTGATGGAGAGAGAGGAGGAGATGGGGGAGAGAGAGAGGAGAGTGAAGGAGAGAGAGGAGACGGTGGGGGTGAGAGGCGGAAACATGGAGGAGAGAGAGAAGAAGGTGGAGGAGGAAGAGGAGAAGGTGAAGGAAAGGGAAAAGGTGGTGTGTATGAAGGAGGTGGAGGTGAGGGAGAGAGGGGAGGAGGTTGCGGCACGAGCAAGGCTGGTGGAAGAGGATACCGTAAGGGTGTGTGGGGACATGGTCCGTGCAGAGGTGCTGCTGAATGAGGCTAAAGGACGAGAGGCAGAGGTGGAGAGGCGAGAGGCAGAGGTGGAGAGGCGAGAGGCAGAGGTGAAGAGGCGAGAGGCAGACGTCGATAGACGTGAAGCCGAGGTGAAGGAGAGAGAAGAGGGAGTGAAGAGGAGAGAAGAGGGAGTGAAGAGGAGAGAAGAAGAGGTGGGGATGGAAGAGGACGCGAGGGCTGGCGAGGTGCAGAGAAGGGAGGAGGAGGTGGGGAAGAGGGAGGAGGAGGTTGCAGCGGTGCAGAGGAAAGTGCGGGCAATGGAAGAGGTGGTGAGTAAGCAGCTGCAGATGGTGATGGAGAGGCAGGAAGAGGTGGCACGGCGGGAGGAGACGGGCAGGGAAGAGGAAGAAGCGATGCAGAGGCGGGTCTTGGAGGTAGAGAAGAAGGAAGGGGAGGTTATGCGGAGGGAAGCAGAGGTGGGTGAGAAGGAGGCTGAAGTGGCTGAGAGGGAGCAGGAGGTTAGGAAGCGAGAGAGGGAGTGTGCAGCGAAGGAGGGAGAGGTGGAGGAGAAGGAGAGGAGGGTGGAGGAGGAGATGGAGGAGGTGCAGGAGGCGATGGGGCGGGTGGCGAGGGGGGCGGCGGGGAATGTGGAGAAGGAGGCCGAGTGGGAGGAGGCGAGGCGAGAGGTGCACGGCAGGGAGGAGCAGGTGGCGCGTATGATGGAGGAAGTTCAGGGTCGGGAAGAGGAGGTGAGGAGGTTGCGAGAGGAAGTGGAGATGCGAGAGACAGCGCTGGTTGAGCAGGAGAGTGCGCTGCGGAAAGAAATGGAAGCAGCAACGTCCAGGAGGGAGGATACGGAAGGAGAGGAAGAGCAGCAGCCGCAGCAGACGCAAGGGACGCAGGGGGAGGAGATGCAGGAGAGACGGGAGGAGGGAGAGTCAGCAGCACGAGTGGGTGAATTGGAAGAGGAGGTGGAGAGGCAACGGTGTGAGATGATGAAGATGGAGGCCCTGATTGCCGCTGCCAACGCTGAGAGGGACGAGCTGGTGAGGCAGAAGGAAGCAGCAGAGGCTGAGCTACAAGCGGCGGTTGAGAGAGCGGACAGAGAGAGGGAGAAGGCGAGGGAACTTGTGGCTCAGCAGCGGCGGGAGCAGGAGGAGAGGGAGAGGGAGGTGGGGAGGAGGGAGGCGGAGGTGGAGGAGAGGGTGGGAGAGGTGAAGAAGAAGGAGGTGGCTCTGGTGGTGGGCGAGATGAGGGTGAAGGCAGAGGCAGAGGCGCTGGGAAGAGAGATGGATCGGCTTGCATCCATGGCTGCTGGGAACGCGGAGAAGGCGTTTGAGCTGGATGAGAGGAGGGAGCTGGTGGAGCGGAAGGAGGAGGAGGTGGGGAGGAGAGAGGCGGAGGTGGAGCGGCGGATGGAGGAGATGGGGAAGCGGGAGAGGGAGGTGGAGAGAGAGGTGGAGGAGGCTGTTAGGAGGAAGGAGGGAGAGGTAGAAGCAGAGGAGGCAAGGGCAGAGGCCGAGAGGCTGAGGACGGAAGTGCAACGGATGAAAGAGGAGGTTGAGAGAGCTGAAGAGGAGGTGAGACGGGCGAAGGAGGAGGTGAGAAGAGTGAGTGAGGAAATGGTGGCGCTCACTGAGAGGGATACTGAGCGGGAGACTGAGAGGGGTGCTGTGGAGGAGGGGCTAAGGAGGGAGACCTTAAGGCTGCAGGAGGAGGTTCAGCGACTGCAGCAGGAGGTGACGGAGGGGCAGAGTGAGAGCAGCAGGATAGGGGAGGTTCTGAGGAGGCGGGAGGCGGAGCTGGAGAGGCAGGAGGAGGAGGTGAAGAAGAGAGTGAGAGAGGTGATGGATAAGGCTGGGAAGGTGGAGGAGATGCGGAGGGAAACGAAAGCTGGGGCAGAGAGGAGGAGCTCGGATGTGGAGAAGAGGTGGAGGGAGGTGGAGATGAGGGAGAGGGAGGTGGACAGGCGGATGGCGCTGGTGCGAAAGAAGGAGGCGGAGAAAGAGAAGGAGCTGGAGGAGGAGATGGAGAGGGTGCAAGCAGCCACGGCCCGAGTGGCCAGGGGATTAGCGGCAAATGCTGCCAAGGAAGCGGAGTTGGGAGGGTTGAGGCGAGAGGTGGAGGAGAAGGGGGAGACGGTGCGGAGGATGGAAGAGGAGATGGGAAGAGTGATGGGGAGTCTGAGGGTGAAGGAGGAGGAGGTGGTGAGGCGGATGGGCGAGTTTGAGGAGAGGATCGAGGCGTTGGGCGTGCGGGAGAGGGAGGTGGAGCGATGGAGGGAGGAGGCGGAGAGAGTGAGAGTGGAGGCTGCTCGGGTGGCAGAAGCAAGGGCGGCGAATGAGGCGAAGGAGAAGGAGATGGAGATGGTGAGGAACGAAGTGAGGGCCAAGGAGGGGGACTTGAGAGCTAAGGAAGAGGAGGTGAGAGGCAAGGAAGAGGAGGTGAAGAGGAAGGAGGGGGAAGTGACGGCGAAGGAGGAGGAGGTGGAGAAGCGGGAGGAGGAGGTGGTGCTGTGGGAGGAGGAGCTGAAGAGAGAGAAGGAGGAGGTGGGGGGGAAGCTGGCGGATGTGGCCAAGAGGGAGGGGGAGTGGCAGGAGAGAGAGCGGCGCCTACAGGAAGAGGTGGAGCGGCTGTTGGTACTAGTGGAGCAAGCCGCGGCAGGAGCAGCAGCAGGAGCGGCAGCAGGAGCAGCAACAGGAGCGCGGTTTGACGGGGGTCAAGTAGCCGGAGGGGGGCGTTTCGAGGGGGCTCGATCACCAGGGGCGAGGTTTGAAGGGGCTCATATGCCAGGGGGGCGTTTTGAGGGGTCGCTAAGGGAAGGGGGAGGGGGGGCACGGTTCGAGGGGAGCCAGCGGGAGAAGGCGCGCTTGGAGGCTCTGCAAATGGCTACGGCGGACAGGGACAGGGTGATGGGGGTGGTGAGTGGTATGCTGCGATCTCCAGGGAGCGCTGGGGCGGTGGCGGGGGGGAGTGTGAGCAAGGGCGGAGGGATGGATGTGCGGGGCAGCGGGGATCTAAGGCTGAGGAGGAGTGCTAGTGGGAGTGGGTTTAGGGGGGGCAGTGTGTACAAGAGTGCGAGCACGTCTGCTTTGTCGCACAACATGAGCTTTGGGTCCGCTCAAAAGTCGCCTCGTTTTCCCAATAGCGCGAGGCCTGGTAGCAGTGGCTCGGGCAGTGGCACGGGCAGTGGCATGGGCAGTGGCATGGGCAGTGGCATGGACAGTGGCATGGGCAGTGGCAGGGGCACAAGCATGGGTACGGGCACGGAAGCTGGAGCGGCAGCAAATGCAGCAGCAACAGGTGGAGCATGGGGAGAGATGGTGGAAGACAACTACTTATATCAGGCCAGCTTCACCAGGTGCGTCTCTGGACTTGCCCCGGCCCCTCGCAAGCGCACCATCCACGTTATTTCCGCTTAGTGGCGCGTTCTGCTCCCTACCCTTCCTCCGGTCCACCCTGTGCTGCTAGCCACCCTGCTGACTGCATTACCCTGTGCCATGTGTGTTGCCTGTCTCATCTGTGTTGTGCCTGTGTGATTTATTGCTCCCTGGTTCAGGCGCTGATACAAGTCGGGGCCACGGGTGGTGTTGTCGTCGTGTGGGGAGTGGTGGGAGTGGTGGGAGGGGTGGGGTCACTCACTGCTCTGCACACCCTCACCAAAATTGCCCCCCCACCCCCCCTCCTCTTCTCATTCCAAGATGGGTTGCGGTTTCAAAAACCCGCGGTCCGAACTGTCCAAAAATTGAACAATTGAACGGGGAGGGAGTTTAAGTAAGAACTGAATGATAAACTAGAAGTAGAAACCTAGAACAAACACTAGTTGGTTGTACTCACTAGAAGCATACCCCAGTCTAGCCTATAACTTGTACACAGCTAACATGTATAAGATGACACACCCCCTAGGCTAGACAAGGGGTGAAGCTAAGCAAGAAGCAAACAGCTCAGGGTGGCACTACTAGTTCAACCACTGAGGCAGGGGTTTGGAGACCAGTCAGCAAGGGTACAAACAAGACTGAAGCGAGCCAGGGCGGCACTACTAGTCCAGCCATTGGAGGTAAGGCCACAAGGCCAGTTTGACAGGCATATATAATAAAGAGTACACAATCAGGATCCTAACAAGTGAGTAGCTACAGGAACAAGACCAAGCTGTACACAGTGTCGCTGATGATGTTTAGGTGCAAGCGCTGTAGTAAAGATATCAGCTGTGTTGGCACCTGAGGCCAAGTGAACTACGCGGGCCTGGCGGCGCTGCTGTAGCTCGCGCAAGAGGAAGTACCGCAGCTGGATATGCTTCGCTCTGCCCTCAAGCCGAGGCTCCTGACACAGGAGTATCATGGCCCTGTTGCCAGCGTACAGGACTGGGGCAGAGCTAGGCCGCTCACCTAAGTCAGTGAGCAAGAAAGTCAGCCAGCGGAGCTCCTGTGCCGCCATGGCACCAGCGTAGATCTCAGCCTCACAGCTGGACTGAGCCACAGACAACGAGCAAGTGGATCTCCAAGAGATAGCACCCAAACCAAGGCTAAAGCAGTAGCCCTGCGACGACCTGAGCGTCTCAGAGTCGTCTACCCAAGAAGCGTCAATGTGCCCAGTAAGGACCACTGGCCTGCGTCCTCTTGGCACTAACCCCATGCCCGATGTACTAGCAAGATAACGCAAAACCCTCTTAGCGGCAGACCAGTGCTGAGGTCGGTGTCTGCTTGTAGCCACAAAGCGAGCCACGATGCTGAGAGGGTATGCGAGATCTGGGCGAGTGTAAGTCATCAGTTACATGAGGCAACCCACCAGCTCTGCGTAGGGGCCGCTGGGCTCTACTGGCTCCTCAGGAACGGGAGCGGAGAGCCCATGGTCTACAGGTAGAGGTGTGGGCTGTGCGGAGGAGAACTGAAGACCGAAACTCTGAAGAACCTGACGCACCAAGTGTGACTGTGTCAGAGTGATGGTGCATGGTGCTCTGTCCCTAGAGATCTGCAGGCCAAGATAGCGACGCAGCTTACCAAGGTCAGTGCAGGTGTGTCTCTTCAGCAGCTCGGCCTTCATAGAGGCCAGCGCGTCCCTGTCAGCAGTAGCGAAGACCAGATCGTCTACATAGACAAGGATGTAGAATGGAGTCTGGCCGGAACGCACAAACAGCGAGGGGTCAGCAGAGGACGGAAAGAACTGCAGGTCTGCTAACGTGGTCCGCAGCGTGTCGTGCCACTCGCGAAGAGCCTGACGCTGGTCGTAGACCGGGTGCCTGAGAAGCCACTAGGTCCCAGGGGGGAAGGTACCAGTGAAACCCTGTGGTCGGCGTAGGTAAACCTGCTCGTGTAGGCTGCCCTGAAGAAAGGCAGTAGAGAAGTCGAGGGAGTGAAGCTCGTAGTCGCGCTGTGCTGCTACGTGTAGCAGCGCCCGAAGAGTGGTCATCTTCGGGGTCGGGGCGAAGGTCTGGAAGAAGTCAACCCCCTTGCGCTGACTGAAACCTCTGGCCACGTAGTGCGCCTTGAAGACAGGTGGCTCTCCAGGGGGGCGCTTCACCTTGAAGAGCCACCGACCATCAACTACGTTCACCCCAGGCGGGGGAACTGCGTCGACGTAAGTGCCGGTGGACCTCCAAGATGCCATCTCCTGCTCCATGGCAGGTAGCCACAGAGAGGCCCAAGGTCGAGGTGGCCTCAGCGTAGGTGCGAGGGGTCGGGATGTCGAAGGCGTCTGGGTCACCCTCAGGGACTAACAGCATGGAGCAGAGATGGGGAGCAGCCTCAGAAAGGAAAGCAAGCTCGTACTGCCTGTCCTCTAGGATGTCAGTGCCAAGGGCAGGAGCACCCCCGACGGACGGAGGACAGGCAGGGCCAGAGACCAGAGCGGTGGCGTAGTCAAGGCGGCGAGTAGAGGCAAAGTCAGCGACAACAGCGACAAGCACGTCAAGGCGCGAGACAGGAACAGACGAGTCGGTAACAAGAGAGGCAAGGACCCAAGGGGCAAGGGGACGAACGGCACGAAGGTAGTCAGAGAACGGAGGAGGTGCAACAGCAAGGGACGAGGGAGGAGGGGACAGGAGGAGGGGAGGACGAGACGAGCGGGAATGGAGCAACATAGGGTGGGTGGGCAGGACAGGAGAGACGAGACGAGCACGGGAGGGACGGTGAGACCAAACGTGAGACGGAGGTGTAGGGTCAGGGGAGAGCGGAGGGGACACAGGAGGGAAACGAGGAGGAAGACGGGCCGGAGACGAGTCCGGCGGCGGGAACACCGGACCGTAGACAGGAAGGTCAGCAGGCGGTGGGGGAGACACCGGCGCGCGGTCCGGGGAGGGAAGGCCGAGCAGGCGGAGAGCGGAGACCGGCGGCGACGGCTGCTGCGGCTGCTGCGACAGCTGGGCCGGAACCCTCGGACCGGCAAAGGCAGGACGACCGTCGGCAGAACACTCAACAGCAGCACCCCCAAAACCAACACCCCCAGAGGGAGAACCCCCTCCAACACAAGCGGCACCCCCAGGGGCCAAGAGCGGCGGCGACATTGGCGGCGGCGACGGCGGCGGCGGCTGCGGCGGGGTCGGCGATTGCGACAGTGGAGGCGGAGACACCGGGGAAGGGGGACGCGGCGAGGACGGGCTGGGGGTACCACCAGAGTCAGCAGACTCCTCAACGGGGATAACCGACGGGAGGGGAGTGACGTGAGAGACACCAGACGGGGCAAGACGAGGCGGGAGAGGGGTAGGGGCTACCGGGGGAGAGGGAGCAAGGAACAGCGGCGAGGCAACCGGGAGATCTCGGTGAGGGAAGTGGCGGTAGAAGGAGACAGACTCGTCAAAGGTGACGTCATGAGAGTGGAGGAAGCGGTGAGACGGCGGGTGGTAGAAAAGCCAGTCAGACGAGTCCAGGGGGAAACCGAGGAAGACACAGGGGAGAGTGCGGGCAGTGAGCTTGTCCGTGCCAGAGGCACGAACGTGAGCAAGGCAGCCCCAGACGTGGAACGCAGATGCGTCACCGGGGGACCCGGTCCAAAGGAGGGTCGGCGAAACCTGCGGCCGCTGGGAGCGTGGCCACAAGTTAATCTGGTGAGCAGCGTAGCGAACAGCGAACGTCCACAGAAAATGGGGGGCAATCGGCATGAATCATGGAGGTACGGGCGACCTCCATGACCAAGCCGATGCGGCGCTCAGCAACCCCATTCTGCTGTGGCGAGTCCGGCAAGGGGTACGACTGGGTGATGCCCTCTGCATGACAGAACTGTCCAAGCCGACCAGAGGCGAACTCGCCGCCACGGTCAGAGTGGAGGCACAACACGGGGAGACCGCGGTGAAGACGCGCAGCTACGACCCACGGGAGAAGAACGTCGGGCACGTCGGCCTTCTGCTCCAGGGGAAACACCGTGGTGTAGCGCGTGTAGTCGTTGACGAGCACAAAGAAGTAGAGCTCACCTCGCGGTCGGGGACGGGGGCAGGGCCCCAAACGTCCAGGTGCAGGGTCTGAAGGGGGGCAGTAGCAGGGCACAGCGAGGAGGAGTGAGGAGAGCGGCGGAGCCGGCCCTCGACGCAAGGCGTGCACGGTGGCGCAGCCGAGGGGGGAAGGGCAGGGAGCGACGCGGGGAGGCCTAGGACAAGACCGTGCTGAGACATGTGACGCAGACGAGGGAGATCAGGGTGACCTAAGCGGTGGTGCCACAGAAGGGAAGGGTGAGTGAGGGACTGACACGAGCAAGCGGTAGCGACCTGGGAGGACGCACCAACCGGGGGGAAGCGGTGTCTAGGGTGAACAGACCGGACACCGGGTCCCGGGGGAACGTCGCAAGAAGGGAACCTGAGACAGACTTAGAACAGACAACGAACCGCTCGTGCCCGGGGATTGTGGTGGTGACGCCGAGGTCCTGGAGACAGCCGACACCAACCAGGTTCCTCGAGAACGAGGGAACGTGGAGACCTGTAAGGTAGCCCGAGGGAACTGCTGGACAGGGAAGGGACGTAGAATTGTGAGCGACAACAGGACCTGCAGAGGGGTCAGCGAGAGAGACAACAGCAGGCGTAGCAAGCGGCGTGAGCGCGGAATGGTCGCGGAAGTAGCAGGCAGAGGCACCGGAGTCGAGGGTGAAGGACAGCGAAGCATCGGCGGAGGCCGGGAACGGGGCCTGTGCAGAGACTAGGCTAGGCAAACGAGGCAGTCCTATGCCTGACGCAGCAGAGGAGGCTAAGCTTCACAATGGGGCAACACCTAAACTAGAGTACACAGGGTAATAAGATCCAGCAACACTAGAAGCGTCAGAATACAAGGCATGCAAAGTAGCACCTATCTGATCCATGTCTAACTCAAAGACCGGCACGCCCTGGCGGAGCAGGCTGTGCCAGTCGGGGAGGTCCGGGGCCGGGCCAAATCGACGACGAAAGAGATCGTCGAGGCGGTGGAAACAGCGGGCAGTCGGGTGCGGGCGGCGGCACAGAGTGCCGCAAAGAGGACCGGTCTGAAGCTGGTACTGGCAAGTGACAGCACCGGAGCCGCCGGTAGACATCGAGCTGCGCGGACCGCCACCACGGCCACTACCTTCGGAGGTGCCGGGCCAACCAGGCGGGAGTCGGGCCCACGGCTCCGGCGGCGGCTGCTGCTGGGACGGCGGCTGCTGCTGGGGCTGCTCCTGCTGCGACCGGGGCTGCTGCTCCTGCCCACCGGTGGTAGTCCCCTCAGGCGGACTACCGTCACAACCACCACCACCACCATCACCTGCACCACCACCCCTACCTCCCTGACGACCACGGTTAGCGCGGCGTGAGCGCTGCTGCAGGTGGACCACAGCAGCCGTCTCGGTGAGAGGGGTCGCCGTGGCGACCGCAGCCGAAACGTCAGTGAACGTGCACTGGAAGGGGGCACAGCCGTGAAAGATAGAGAATGCCGGTGCACCGCTCGACTGAGCGATAGTGCGT